GTATGTATGTATCACATTTTACTTAACCATTCATCTGTTAATGGGCATATGGTTTGCTTCAACCTTTTGACTATTGCAAATAATGCTGCTATAAACGTAGGTGTTCAAATATTCCTTCAAGTCCCTGATTTAAATTATTTTGGGTATAAACCCAGAAGTGTGATATCTGGATCATATGATACTTCTACTTTTAATTTTTTGAGGAACCACCATACTATCTTCTATAGTAGTTATATTATTTTACATTCTCTCCAGAAGTGCACAACTGCTCCCATTTTCCACATCCTCGCCAACACCAATACTTACCTTCTACTTTTTTTTTTTTTTTGATAGTGGACATCCTAATGAGTGTGAGGTGGTGTCTCAATGTGGTTTTGAATTGCATTTCTCTAATGACTAATGATGAGCATATTTTCAAGTCCTTATTGATCATTTGTGTATATCTTCTTTGGAGAAATGTCTCTTCATGTGTCTTTTGTCTATTTTTTAATCAGAGTGCTTGTTTTTCTTTGTTGAGTTTCTCCTTTGCTATCTTTTTGTGTTAAACAAATATTGTTTAGTGTACTATTTTAAATCTTTTGTTCATTTCTTAGCTATAGTTTTAAAATTTTACTTAACACATTTTTATATGTTTATTTTACATAACATTTTTAAATTACTTTTTAATTGGTTGTTCTACGGAATACAATGTGTGCTGTGATTTGAATGTTTGTGTTCCCTTCAAAATTCATAGGTTAAAACCTAATCCCCAATGTGATGGTATTTAGAGGGGGGACCTTTAAAAGGTAATTAAGTCGTGAAGGTGGAGCCCTCGTGGACGGCACTGGAGTCCTTATAAATGGGCTTGAGGTCGAAGGGCAAGGTCTCTCTTCTCTCTTGCCCTTCGGCTTTCTACCAGGTGATGACAACACGAAGGGCCTTGCCCAATTCTGGTGCCTCAATCTCAGACTTCCCAGCCTCCAAAACTGTGAGACATAAATTTCTGCGTATTATAAATTACGCGGTCTGTAGTATTTTGTTATAGCAGCACAAAATGGATTGGGACAATGTGTATCTTTAACTTAACACAATCTATTAGTATTTGAGGTAATGATATGAACTTAATTTCAGTAAACTATAAAACATTTGCTCTGATATTGCACTGTTTCCTCCCTCTTCCTTTGTGCTATCACTGTTACATACATTACATGTATATAATACAATATCAATAATATAGTGTCATAATTATTGCTTTAATTAATCTTGTGGTTTTAAAGAAATTAAGAGAAGAAAAATGTGTGTGCATGTCTGTATAGTCTTTTTGTATTTATCTGCATATTTAAAATTTTTCATATCTTCATTCCTTCCTGCATATCAGAGTTACCCTCTCTTGACACTTCCTTTCAGCCTAAAGAACTTCCTTTAATATTTCTTGGAGGGCAGGTTTGCTATCAACGGATTCTCTCTGGTTATTTCTCTCCGAACGTCTTTATCTCACCTTCACTTTTGAAGGATAATTTCACTGGATACAGAATCCTGGTTGACAGTTGTCCCCCTCGCCCGTCAGCACATTGAACGTATCATTCTCATGTCTAGTGGCTCTGATGTTGAGAAGTCAGCTCTATGTCAGATTGTTTTTTCCCTGTGCTGACGAATCATTTTTCTTTTGCCACGTTCAAGATTTTCCTTTTGTCCTTGGCTTTCGGGAATTTCAGTATGATGCATTTAGGTGTGGTTTTCTTTGTGTTTGTCTTACTTTGGGTTCATCTGAACTTCTTGTATTTGTAGATTTCCTTTTAAAATTAAATTTGGGAGTTTTTTTAGTGTTATTATTTCAAAAAATTTTGGCCCTCTGTTCTCTCTCGTCCTTCTCTCCTTCTGGAACTTCCATTTCATGTAAAGGGATACTTGACACAGTTCCACAGGTGTCGGAGGCTCTTCTCTCTTTCACTTATTTTTTCCCTTTTTCTTTCTTTCTTTTTTTTTTGGGATGGAGTCTTGCTATGTTGCCCAGACTTGCCTTCAACTCCTGCACGGAAATGATCCTCTGGTCTCAGTCTCTCAAGTGGCTGGGATTACAGGCATGTGCCACCACCACACCTGGCTCTCTCTCTTTTTTTTTCTATTGTCACCCAGAGCATTCCTTATTAGGTAAACATTACTGATTTGGGTTCATGATTCCCTACTATGTAGTAATTTGTATCATTCTCTGATAAAATAATATTTAATATTTATTTACAATAAGAATTATAACACCCGATATTTATATATGATCTTCAATATAAAA